GGATAGGAGTTGGCATTTGGGTGGTTATTGCCTTAAATCTAGTGATTGCCTTCAGAATACCTAATAATTTTTTTTTTTAACCTTTTCTAGGTTTGATGTGGCTAGTGTGATGTCTGTTACACTCAGTTGTGATCATCGAGTTGTGGATGGAGCAGTTGGAGCCCAGTGGCTTGCTGAGTTTAGGAAATACCTTGAAAAGCCTATCACCATGTTGTTATAATTAAGCCAAGAATTTCTAGACTGTCCCAGGTGACACTGGTTCCTTCTTATCAAGATATTTATATGTTATTAAACAGATGGTTCTTTTAAAGTTAACTATTTAGTTATTTTTATTATTGAATCTGTCCGGATAAGTTACTTGTAATTGGCATTACTGAATCTTTAAAAATAGCAGTTACACTCAAGTGTTGTGCACACTAATTATTATAACACCAAATTTTAAGCTGTACACTTCTAGTTGAGGGACATATGGCCTAGCCTTTTGGTGATTACATACTCTCAGGAGGAAATATAGGATGGGAAGAATTGTAGATTCCTAAAGACATAAAAGTCAATTGGCTGAAATGTTGGAATTTGAAAAATTTAATTGCCTGAAATGTTCTGCTTAGATGAGAGGGAAAGAGAAGTGAGGAAAATTAGTACTCTTGGGAAAAGCTTGATTTTAGAATTTCAACCCAGCTTGAAGTTTTCTATTACGTGGTGTTGGTTTATCCTGGGAAAGGTAGAGAATATCAGGGAAAGTGAAACTTCTGAATCAATAGTTTCTGAGATCTCTTCAACCAATTGTACTTTGGTTGTTTTCCCTTCTTAAGTTATAAATATAAACCAGCTGTGGGGTATAAGTGGGAATTTATGTGGGTATTTATTTAAACAACTTAAATGTGTATCTCTTAGAGCAGAGTTTTATAATTAGCTCCACATAAAAGAACATACATACAGAATAGAACAGAAATTGTGAAAGAATTAGAGGGAAACAATTTTCCAAAATCAGCTGGTAGCTCCTTGCAAATGAACTTAATTATCCCAATTTATTACTCAAATAATTCTGGAAAGCATACTAAATAACTGGAATATATATGGAATAAGTGTACATATGTAAAATATGGTTACTTGAGTTGGATATGTGCCAAAGTCCATTTATCACCAAGTCCTCTCTGCAAAGAAGCGGGGAAGGGATACATTGGTGAACAGTTTGAAATGCTAATAAATGATGCCCATTTTGATTTCTACTTGGATAAAGTAAAAAAAAAAAAAAAAGTTAAATGTGAATGTGTATTAAAGTGTTCTGTCTTTCTACCCTAGCATTGTCTCATGTAAAAATGAGAAAGCCCTAAAATCCTGTTGAAAGGAAAATCAATTACGTGGCTACCTTACCTTACTAGCTTAAATACTTTTTTCCATTTTATTACATTTTGCCTTTTTTTGGAAGGAAGGAGGAGGTAATTGATACTCAATGTAATTAAAAATGAACTGGGAACATTATCACAATTCCAGACTTCCTCTTGAATTGATGTGTTTTAATAAGTGGAATTATTTATGACTTTAAAATAAATCCAGTGCTTCCTTGTCTATGTAATATATGGAGCTATCCCCTGAAATTTGCTTTTAAGCATTTCAGTGTTGAGTCTACTTCTAAATGTTCATTATTACATGGTGCACAAGTGACACTCCACATATTCTACAAACATTTACCTTGCAGTAATATTAGGAAAATAGTTTAGGTTGAACGGAAGATTATGTACAAGGAACGAGCTTATTACAAGGGACCATCATCACTCTGAGCCAAATCTCATGGTTCAAACATGAAACTTCCAAGATAGTTCATTCTTTGCTAATGCTATGGCTCTATTGTTCCCTTGAAAGAAAAATAAAAACAATTGCTTTTTAATAAAAATTGTTCTGAGTAAAAAATTAATCTGAGCTATAATTGAAATTTAGAGTCAGTCTATTTCTCTTATCAGAATTGAAAGAAAGATAGTATTTTTGGTTCAAATAAGATTGTTTAAAAATTAAACTTTATGCTTCCAATGTGTCTGGTCTAATTTTTTGATCCATTGGTGATTATTTTACCCAGTAAATGATTAAGATGCAGGGATAGCTGTGTATATATAAGATCTTAATGCTAACAGAATTTGAGTTTATATATAATTGGTAAAATATGGACTGAGTTTAGGGGAATATAATCTAATACTTAAAGCTCAAGGAGTTATTGAAGTACGCTGTGTTGGGTTTTGGCACTTACTACCAAGATGGAAAATGTGCTCTGGCTCTGTTGGTTAATTTACTTGCAGTTCTGAGGTTTGTGATTGTGAAACTGTGGTAGCCCAAGGCAGGACCTACAAAAGGTGTAAACCAGTATATGAGAGAGGATAGGAACATGTTCCAAGGAATAGTTCATCACCTAGTAATGCAAAAGTCCTGGAATACATGGAGAAACCCTGATTGCTTCTGATAAGTTGTCTAAAATTAAGTCTGTAGAAAAATAGGTTTTTTCCTTTTATAAAAGATTTATTGGGGCCTGTGCTGTGGCATAGTTAGTTGAGCCGCTGCCTGTGGTGCCAGCATTCCATATGAGCACTGGTTTGTGTCCCAGCTGCTCCTCTTCCATTCCAGCTCTCTGGTTATGGCTTGGGAAAGCAGTGAAGGATGGCCGAAGTGCTTGGGTTCCTGCACCCATATGGGAGACCCAGAAGTTCCTGGCTCCTGGCTTTGGATCAGCTCAGCTCTGGCTGTTGCAGCCATTTGGGGAGTGAGCCAACAGATGAAGGCTCTGTCTCGCCCTCTGTCTATAACTCTGCATCTCAATAAATAAATCTTTTTTTAAAATAAATTTATTTTATTTTAAAGGCAGAGTTACATAGAACAAGAGATCTTCCATCTGCTGGCTCGCTCCCCAGATGGCCACATGTCCAGTGCTAAGCCAGGATGGAGCTAGGAGCTTCATTGGGTCTCCCATCGGGTACAGGGGCCCAAGCACTTGGGCCATCTTCCGCTGCTTCTCCCAGGCTATTAGCAGAGAGCTGGATTGGAAGGGGAGCAGCCAGGACCCAAACCAGCACTTATATGGGATGCCAGCATGTCAGTGGCAGTTTTACCCACTACACAATGCAGGTGCCAAAAAAATCTGGTTTCTTTCTTTCTTTTTTTTTTTTTTTTTTTGGACAGGCAGAGTGGACAGTGAGAGAGACAGAGAGAAAGGTCTTCCTTTGCCATTGGTTCATCCTCCAATGGCCGCCGCGGCCAGCTCTGCGGCCGGTGCACCGCGCTGATCCGATGGCAGGAGCCAGGTACTTCTCCTGGTCTCTCATGGGGTGCAGGACCCAAGCACTTGGGCCATCCTCCACTGCACTCCCTGGCCACAGCAGAGAGCTGGCCTGGAAGAGGGGCAACCAGGACAGAATCTGGCGCCCCGACCGGGACTAGAACCCGGTGTGCCAGCGCCGCAAGGTGGAGGATTAGCCTAGTGAGCCGCGGCGCCGGCCTAAAATCTGGTTTCTAAATAAAGGATAATTTCCATCTCAAATTATTTCTAATTACAGGGGGGACAAAAACCTCTCAAGTAAGATTTCAAATTTAAACCAGTCCACAGTTTATTATTGTAATTACTTTTTAAAAGATTTATTTATTTATTTGAAAGGCAGAGTTAAGAGAGAGAGACAGAGAAAAGTCTTCCATTGGCTGGTTCACTCTCCAAATGGCTGTAGTGTCCAAGGCTGGACCTGTTAGGAGCCAGGAGTTTCTTCCAGGTTTCCCACATGCGTACAGAGGCCCAAATACTTAGGCTGTCTTCCACTGCTTTCCCAGAGCATTACCAGGGAGCTGGATCAGAAGTGGAATAGCCAGGACTCAAACCAGTGGCCATGAAGAATGCTGGTGTTGCAGGTGGGGGCTTAACCTACTATATCACAATGCTGGCCCCTATTATTTCTTCAGGACAAAAGTAACTTGTCTCAGTTTCAGGTTTGTTTGTTTGTTTGTTTTTTAAGATTTATTTATTTGAAAGGCAGAGAGAAAGAGAGAAAGAGAGATCTTCCATTCACTGGTTCACACCCCAAATGGCTGCAACAGCCGGAGCTGAGCTGATCTGGAGTCAGGAGCTCCTGGGTCTCCTACATAGGTGCAGGGCCCCAAGGACTTGGTCTATTTTGTACTGCCTTCCCAAGCTACAGCAGAGAACTGGATCAGAAGTGGAGCAGCTGGAACTTGAACTGGCACCCATTTGGGATGCTGGCACTGCAGGCAGCAGCTCTACCTGCTACGCCACAGCACCAGCCCCCTCAATGTCATTTTTTTCCCTTAAATTAGAGATGGGTATATTTTGTTTACAACATGCAGTAACATCCAGTTACTGTTACCACAGTGTATGTGATCCACAGACAATATTGTTTAGTTTTTGTTTTTAAAGATTTATTTGAAAGGCAGAGTTACACAGAGAGAGATCTTCCATCCCTAATTCATTCCCCAAATGGCCACAACGCCCAGTGCTGGGCTAAACTGATGCCAGAGTCTTCCACATGGGTGCAGGGGCCTAAGCTCTTTGGCCATTTTCCACTTCTTTCCCAGGTGCTTTAGTAGGGAGCTGGATTGGGAGTGGAGAAGGTAGGACTCATATGGGATGCCAGTTCACAGGTGGCAGCTCGATCAGTACACCACAACTCTGGTCTGACAATAAGTTATTTCAAAAGTTCTGTAGGGGTAGCTTGGGCTCATGGCAGAGCTGTTTAATCACACTACAAAGATTCATAGAAGCATGGATTTGAATGTTATATTTGGCCCTGCATGTTTATTACAGGAGGAAACTTTTAACTGCTGCAGTTCATCCTAGTAATAAATTTCTTGCACTGTCTGGGAAAATTTACTATGGTTTTAACTTTTTTTCTCCAAGCAGTAAAGCAGTTGTTCCAACATGTTACTTGGAAAGAATCAGAATTCTCCTGAATAGTATTTACATTACTCAAGATCAGTAGAAATATCTTTAAAATGAGTACATCATGACTACATTGTTTTTAATCATTTGTGGTTGATGCCAAGTTTATTTAAGAAAAAGTGAGTTAAAAAATAGATGTAACAGCTGAAGAGAAAATTTCATTCCATTTAAAGGAATGCTTAGAAAATAGTATTTAAGATAAACCACTACCTCTGCCCATAATAAAGTTCCTCTAATTCACATGGTTAGTAGAGAACACTCAAAACATGATGCTTTTGTTTTATACCAGTGGCATTGTGATGATTAATGTAGATTGCTCTTTGATAAACTTTGCTGTAGTCATGTCAGTATCAATAGCTTCTGGAAGATTCAGATGTAATTTGTACTTCTCGGAGACCTCAATCAACAAATCATCCTAAGAAGAAACCAAGAGTTCTTTTAAGATGAAAATTTGAAAAATATTTCCTGGTTAAAATTTGTTTCTGGGTTATTCCCTTCCCATTAGATGATCCCATTTACTGCCATGAGTCTTGGAATGAATAATAAATTTACTGTTAATCCATGAAAAATTAAGATTTATTTATTTGAAAGAGTTACAGAGAAGGAGAGATAGAGACAGAGAGATCTTCCATCTGCTGGTTAACTCCACAGATCGTGACGGGAAGGGAAAAGGGGCCAAAACACTTGGGCCATCTGCTGCTGCTTTTTCCAGGCCAATAGCAAGGAGTTGGATCAGAAGTGGAACAGCCAGGACACAAAGGAGCAGTCACACAGGATGCTGGCGTCACGGCCATGACTTTACTTGCTACGCCAAAATGACAACCCCCAATCCCTGAAATTTTGAGGTTATTTTTAATTGATGTTCAATATATCGCATGTTAATATAATACCAGAAATACAATGTTGCCATACTAAATTATGTGATATTGACTTTGGGTTTAAACAGAAAATAGGAATCTTACTGCAGCTTAGAAAGATGGTGATCCATGGTTCATAGTGATAAAGCCCTGAATGAAGCTGTGAATAATGTTGCTTTTTTTTTTTTTTTTCTGACAGCAGAGTGGACAGTGAGAGAGAGAGACAGAGAGAAAGGTCTTCCTTTGCCGTTGGTTCACCCTCCAATGGCCGCCGCGGCCGGCGCGCTGCGGCCGGCGCACCGCGCTGATCCGATGGCAGGAGCCAGGAGCCAGGTGCTTTTCCTGGTCTCCCATGGGGTGCAGGGCCCAAGCACCTGGGCCATCCTCCACTGCACTCCCTGGCCACAGCAGAGGGCTGGCTTGGAAGAGGGACAACCGGGACAGAATCCGGCGCCCCGACCGGGACTAGAACCCGGTGTGCCGGCGCCGCTAGGCGGAGGATTAGCCTAGTGAGCCGCGGCGCCGGCCTGAAGCTGTCAATAATTTTGAAGACAGTGTACCTAAGTTCACCAGTGGCTTTGGATAAAGTAGGAAATAGAATGATGGTAACATATTTTGGTTCTGTTGACTACATTTCACAAGGATTACAGAATAAAGAACTGCCCCCTTTGCAAGTAGAATTGCAATGGTATACAAGAATCCACACATTCAAAGACTTGATGGCTGAAAAATGGAATTTTTATTTTCAACCAGTAAAGGATAAAACTAAATTTTTGTCCACAAAGCTCATTAAGACATTCTAAAGATGAAATCCCAGGTCTTTATTCCACTTTGTTAAAACTTCCTATACTTCAGTAGATTCTTATGTTTCATTTAAGTCTAAAGAGGCAAGTCTTGAAATATGGGTGTCTAAAAAAGAACGGATGTGGTGCTGACTGGAGACAAAATGCTGCCAGCCACCCTGAACTAAAATTGACTTCCAAATTGAAAACATCCTTTGACTGTAGCATTCCACAAGTAGGAAACCAGCTGGGAAAGCTGCTTAGCACCTAGGAGTGGCATATTTTCCAATACTCTACAGATATGGCCAAGGCAGATAGTGGAAAAGTAAGACAAACAAAGGAATGGGGCCAAATGTCATGGGAAACAGTGAAACTTAGCCAGGAATCAAGGGACCTAAGCAAGAATATCCTCTCCTTCTGGGAAAGGGGCCCTTGGTATGTCTGGCTTTTAGGATGTCAGGATTGTGTGCACCAGTAACTACAGTGTGCTTCATGTTTCCATGTGTGAAGTGAGACTTAATTAGGGTTAAACTCTCCATTCACATCTTATGGTGGATGAGCTTGGAGGAGTAGATAACTTGTCTTTGAATGTTAGGTCCATGACACAAAAGGAACAGGATACAGATTATGGTGGGAAAATCCTCTACTTTTGGAGTTCGATACTGAGATTGGAGGTGTTGGGAAAGAAGCAAGTATATGTGACCAAAAGGGTGGACTATCGTAGGCTGCAAGATTGTTCCCAACTACTTGCTTTTTCTGCAAGATTATACATCTCTACTATGCAACTTCTTGACTGCCTGTAAACATATACTATTTATTTGAAAGGCAAAGTGACAAGGAGAGACAGAGCTTCCATCTGCTGGTTCACTCCCCAGATGGCTGCAGCAGTCGGACCCATATCAAACAGTAGCCAAGACTTGAACCAGCACTGTAATAAGGGATGCCTGTGTTGCACACGTAAGCTTAACCTAATGCACCAAAATGCCAGCTCCTCTCCAGTTCCTATAGATAGAGGACTTGGCCTTACAATTAATTTTGGGCAGTAGAATGTGAATAGATGTGATATATGTCATCTCTGAATTGGTAGCTTTAGGATTCATTGCATGGTTTGACTATTTCTGTTTTTCCGCCCTGGTGAGAGCTGCTCCTTCACCTAGACCTTGAAATGTACAAGATTTATAGTGTAACAGCTATTTACATAGCACTTACATTGCACTAGGCATTAACAAGGAATCTCCTGGAGGTGTGTGTACATTACATGTAAACCCTATGCTGTCTTATATTAAAGACTTAAGCATTTGAGGATTTTTGTACCCATGGAGGCTCTTGGAAACAATTCTCTGTAGATACCACAGGGCCGCTATATTATCTACTGAACTTACCTCAGAAACACTAAGGTCACAGACAGAGACTGAGTTAATACCCGGTAATTCAACTTTCAATTCTATTTTCAGAGGCTTCTCATTCTGATCCTTCACGATTTTTAAATCATAGGCTGGTATCTTCATTGCCTCCTGGATTTCAGTACTAGAAATCTCTTCTATCAGACATCCTGCTTTGCCTGAAACTTGTGTTTTTGGCAGTAAAAGTTGAGGAAAGTGATCTGGATTGCCCGCAGTACTGCTTCTTAGCTGTTCAAGAGTGAGTTCTTCATAAAGAAAAGGGGAATATAAAAATCACAAAATATTTTCAGACTATGAGCTGTAAGATATATTAGTTGAGATAGCAGATAAAGCTGCAGTTACATTAGTTTGGAAATCTTAAGGCAAAAGAAATCTTAAGCCAAAGATTCAGTTTTCTAATATCTAATCTTTACATTGCAAAAAAAATTCTTTCCATTCACATTCACCAACTTACCCATTCTCTTTTTGTCTTTTAAATTTGTGGAATCAGTTTGGATTCCCATCAAACTTTGTTTCATTCTTTGAATGCTTCCTTTTATTGTAAATTTGGTAACATGGTAAGAATGTGAGAGTGTGAACTGGAATTGCTCCTCAATGCATTTCATGGCCATCCTTATGAACTCATCTTTTTTCACTTGGTCCTTTTCTGCTGCCTGGAGAACATCAGGATTGTAGGCAACATCGATGACTGTATAAGCATCTGTATTCAGAGGGTTTGAAATGAAGGTAACTTGTTTCACTAATGGTATTAGTATCAGGGAGTAGATTAAACCATATTCCTGATAAAACTGGAATATAAATTCTATTTCTGTATTTTTCAGAGGTAATCACAATGGTGCTATATACAGAAGTCTAATAAAGGGATTCATTGGCATTTTTATATGGGTTAAAATAGTTCATATTAGAAAAAATGAACAATATTAAATTTGCATAAAGGTGCACTAATTTGTCATCATATTTCCATGAAATAAAATATTTTACCTGAAATGCTTATTTGCAATAAAATATTTTAAATGTGCCTTTTCTTCCTTAATTCATTGTACCTGATGTTTCAGAGACATCTTCTGGTCGGCCAAGACGTAGTGGTACTGGATGAGTGGTTGACTGGGGAGCTGGGATCCTTTCCCACTGACATAGATTGATAAAAAGTAATTTTTCTTTTGGTTTCTAGAAAGCAGATAATTTTGCATATGTCAAAACTTAGTTTTTTTTTTTTTAATTTAAAGACAGTATCCTAAAAGCAACTCAGAAGAGGGATTTTAGTCATTCCACATTTTAAAACTGTGATAAATTATAGCTACCTGATTCCCCAAAGCTGCTGACTTTTCATCAGGAACTCAACTGCTGCTCCTAGAGGAAGTGGTCCTCAGGGAGAACTGACCCAAGCAGTTGTTCCAGGTGCATTTGTCCCTATTTTACCATTTCCTACCTTGCCAACCAAATAATTCCTTTATCTGAAAAAGCACCCAACTCCATGATTCTCTACTAAGTCACTCTATTACCTTTTCTTTTTATTCTAGCAGGAAAAAGTATCTAATTTTGAGACGTCCAAAATACTTCATGAATGATGTCCAAAATATATCATGAATGAATTTCCAATTCTTACTCTTCAGCAAAATATTCCACATGTTTCATTTTTTATTTAGAGAGATGATTTCCTTCAAATGTCCTTGCATTGAAGTAGCTACAGCTAATGGGTAAAGTATTCTCCTATTATTCCAACCATTTTACTCAAGACTTCCTCATCCCTGGCACTAACTTTACATACCAGAATCCTGGTTTGTAGACAGAGCTTTGGTTCTGGTCCAGCACACAGCCGCTGCCCCTCCCGCAGCTCCTGTTGGATGAATTTATTATAGCGCTCAGGATCACTTTCAGCAAGATCATCAAGAAGGTTCCAGAATTGTGTAAGCTGGGTGAGCAGACCCTCTGATGATGTCATGATTGATGGCAAGAGAGGCCTCTCAAGCCTGTGGAAAGACAATGACTTAAGGGACAAAAAGTCTGTGTAATTTGATTATTTTCCTCTTCCTCGTTAAAAATTGTTTTTAAGAAACCATCAGCTTTCCTTTCCACCTGTTTTAAAACAGTGTATTATCAACACTTTATTTTTTACCTATTTGTTTATTTTTAAAGGATTTATTTATTTGAAAGAGTTACAGAGAGAGCTATAGAGGGATATAGGTCTTCCATCTGCTGGTTCACTCCCTAGATGGCTGCAATGGCTGGAGCTGCGCTGATCAGAAGCCGGGAGCCAGGAGCTTCTTCCAGATCTCCCACACAGGTGTAGGGGCCCAAGGACTTTCCCAGGCCACAGCAGAGCTGGATTGGAAGAGGAGCAGCGCGGACTAGAACCAGCGCCCATATGGGATGCTGGCACTTCAGGCCAGGGCTTTAACCCGCTACGCCACAGCAATGGCCCTACGTATTTTTTTTTAAAGACTTATTTAAGAGTTAGAGAGGTCTTCCATCCACTTGTTCACTCCCCCAAATGGCCACAAATGCCGGAGCTGAGCACATCTGAAGCCAGGAGCCTGGAGCTTCTTTGGGGTCTCCCACGTGGGTGCAGAGTCATCTGCTTTCCCAGGTACATTAGCAAAGGAGCTGGATTGGAAGTGAAGCAGCCAGGACTCAAACCCGTGCCCGCTGCAGGCTGGGGCTTTAAGATGCTAGGCACAGTGCTGGCCCCGTGTTTTGTTTTGTAATTTATTTTATTTGAAAGGCAGCTGAGAGATCTATCAACTGGTTCACTCCCCAAATGGCCCCAATAGCCCGGTCTGGGCCAGACAGAAGGCAGGAGCCTGGAACTCTATCTGGGTCTGAGCTGGATAGGAAGTGCCACAGCCGGGACTGAACTCTAACCAGTGTTCATATGGGATGCCGGCATCGCAGACAGCAACTTAACAGGCAAGCCCCAAATGTTTTCCTTATTCTGTCATTGGTTAGTAGCCTTTACAAAGTGCTCCAGTTGTCCTCTCAGATAGGGCCTTACCTCCACTTGGACCGTCAAAAACCCCAAGGGAACAAAGCAGTCACTTTAAGTCTGGATTTCTTGGTGATCGCCTTGTTCCTACACCCTGAGTATTGGCTGAATGGTGCATCCTCAAACGTGAAATCGCCAGAATTGTGTAGGGGTGAGTACCACAGAATTTCAGTCCTTTAGTGGATAGAGAAGGCCCGGGTTCCAATCTCAGCTCTCTCCTACAAGCAGTGTGACTTCCAGTAATTAATGTACGAAAGTGCCTCAGGTGTTTTTTTTCTTCTTCTTCTTTTTCTTCTCTTAAAGAAGGAATACTTCTCTCCTTTGGGTCATTGTGAGAACCACTTTACGGAGAAGCTGGAACACTTGGATGACCTATGAGTAACTCCTCTAGGTCTTGGGATGACCCTCCTCGCCCCGCCCACCCCCCGTCAGAGAGGTGTCCCACAACATCCCTGAAAAGAGCCCAAGAGGTTTAGAGTCTTCCAGTACTATCTTAGTGTTAGACTAAATAGGAAATGCAATTAACGGGCAATCATTCCTAAGGTCCGCAAACCCACCTCTTCTCGGTTCCCAAATCGCGACACTTGTTTCCCGGGTAACCGGACTGGGTACAACACCTAATTGGGTCCGGGAAGCTCCAGGCGGAAAGTGTTTACATCTAGTTCCGGAATCTCCCCTTCTGAGGTCCGGCTTACTTTTTAGCTGAGCCGGACTCACTTGACTTCCAAGAAAGGGCCTGCTTCCCTTCTGCAGGGGTCGGCCCCTAGACTGCCCAGGAAATTCCCCAGCGGGAGTCGCCGCCGCTCCCGTTGGTGGGAAGAATTTCTCCCAAGCACGGCTTCCGGCCTGAAAGGGAAGCCCCCTCCTTTTTCTCCCAGACCGCCTCCTCCCCCCCACCCCCGCCACGCGAGGCTGCGGCGCACGGTATGGGTGTGTTTGTGTGTATTTGTGTGGGGAGGGAGTTTATAGGGAGAGTCACCGGGAGCTCCAAGGCCGCTGGGGGACAGGGATCCCGGTGACAAAGATGGGGGTGTTTTCTCTGTCTTCTACCTGGAAACCCCAAAGGCCCCGTCAGGCACCGTAGACACTTCCTGGGGCCCAACGGAAGGTCGTACCACTCCAAAACGTCCCCCTTCTTTCCTGGGGAGTGAAACCCAACCCCCGGTGTCCGTTCCAGCGGAGCGTCAGCGGGCGATGCCCCGGTCAACCGGGCGGTCCGGGTTCCGCGCCGGCGCAGCCTCCGGCCTCAGCCAGGAGAAACATCTGCCTGTCGGGCTGGGCTGGGGCGAGGCAGCCGTGGCCTGGGCCACGGGTGAGGGCAGAGTAACCGGTGGGAAGGCTCCGTTTTCACGAAGGACTCGGGTGAAGCTGCAGAGCTGCCTTTGAGCCCTGACTCCTTGGCTTCCTGGGTCGATGGAGATCTTGTAATGGAGTGGTTCTTCGTCTCACACTAACAAGATGCCTGATTACCTCAGGATCGAGGGGTGAGTGAGCGTTGGGGTGGTCGCACAAAACCCCTGGTGACCACACACGTGAATATTCTTGTTAATCTAGTTTTCGGAAACTTCTGTACAAAATAGGAATGACGATGCCCCGAATGGAGAAATTTCGGTCATCTTGCATTTCATGCCTGAAAGGCATCAGTTTCTGTAATTGTAGACGAGTAGTTCCTGACGCTATCGAATCTGGGTGTTACTTCATTGCAAACTTTGGGGTTCCAGATTTGACATCTGATCTGGACATTGATATATAGTCGTTTGCATGAGGCAAGTTAGAACTTGAAGGGAGCTTCATCTAGAAGATAAGAATGGAGATATTATACATTTGGCCTTTGGTACCGGTTTCTGCATTCTCGGATTCAAGGAACAGCAGGATGAAAATATTTGGGGGGGAAAATTGTCTGTACTGACTTTTATTCTCATTATTCCCTAAACAGTATAGCATGATAATGATTTCCATGGCGTTTATGTTGTATTAGGTATTAGAAGAAATCTAGAGATGCTCTAAAGCCTACAGGAGATGTCATAGGTTATATGCAAGTACTGTGCCATTTTATATGAAAGTACTTCAGAAAGTTAGTGGAAAATGGAATTAAAAGGTAAGTTTACTTTGTTGCCAAAAAAAAAAAAAAGAGAGAAATTCATGCATATGAGGGGTTCTTTAAAGAGTTCATGAAGAATGTATATTGTTAAAAAACTATATTGATTTCAAATACTTTTTCTACCAAAGTAGACATACCTTTTAATTCAATTTTCCATGAGCTTTTTGAAGTATCCTTGCATAAGGGATTTGAGCATACATGGGTTTTGGTGTCTATGGGTGGGGGGTTGGGGGTGGTGATGGTTCCAGAACCAGTTTCCATGATTATTGAGGGATGACTGTATTTGCCTAATATAAAATAGAGTTATTATGAGGATTAAATAAAAGGTGCTTAATTTTGTGCAGTCTTGTTCAAAGAACTTTAATGTATGTTATCTTCTTTCATCCTTACATTACAGGCTATTCCCCCCTTTAATGGTAAAGGAAAAACTATTCCTCTGACTTCTAGTCCAGTGTTCTTTGCTTTACCTCATGCTTTTTTATGAACTTTAATAAAAGCAATGGTAGTAAGGTAAAGGAAATACTTACTAAGTGTTATCTATTGACTCATTTCAGATTGAAGAATGTCCCGGGTTCCTTTGGGGAAAGTCCTCCTGAGGAATGTCATCCGGCACACAGATGCTCACAATAAGGTGGGAGGTACAACCCAGTCATTCCTCAACACTTATTGAGATCATACAGTGTGACAAGGATTGTTTTGATACAGTTGAGGAGTCCAAAGTGAATGAACAATTTATTATCTACTTAAATAGATAAAAATAGTTTCATAAGTATTATATAGTAGAGATAGCTGCAAAGTACTTTAGAGTACCAAGGAAGGAATAAGGAAATCTGTGTTGGGGAATTAGAAAAGACTGCACAGGGAGCAAGCATATAGCCTAGCTGTTGAGACACCTACGACCCACATTAGAGTATCTGGGTTCAGTGTCTAACTGCAGCTCTTGACTCCAGCTTTGTGCCGATGCAGACCCTGGGAGGCAGTGACAATGGCTCAACTAATCGGTTCTGTCCCCTCATGGGTGACCTGGACTGTGTTCCCAGCTCTCAGCTTCAACCTGACCCAGCTCTGGCAATTGAGGGCATTTGGAGAATGAACTACTAGCGCGCTCTCGCCCGTGCTCTCTCTCTCTCTCTCTCTCTCTCTCTCTTAAATTTTCATCTATTTGAAAGGGTGACAGACACACACACACTGATATCTTCTATCTGTTTTACTCCTCAGATGCCTACAACAGCCAGGAACTCCATCTGAATTTCCCACTGCATGGAGGGGCCATCATCTGCTGCCTCCTTGGATGCATTAGCAAGAAGTTAGATCAGGGGACCTTGGTGGCTGCCACGGCTCACTTGGCTAATCCTCCGCCTGCAGCGCCGGCACCCCGGGTTCTAGTCCCGGTTGGGGCACCGGGTTCTGTCCTGGTTGCTCCTCTTCCAGTCCAGCTCTCTGCTGTGGCCTGGGAGGGCAGTGGAGGATGGCCCAAGTGCTTGGGCCCTGCACCCGCATGGGAGACCAGGAGGAAGCTTCTGGCTTTGGATCGGCGCAGCGTGCCGGCTGTAGCAGCCATTTGGGGGGTGAACCAACGGAAGGAAGACCTTTCTCTCTCTCTCTCTCTCTCTCTCTCTCTCACTGTCTAACTCTGCCTGTCAAAAAAAAAAAAAAAAAAAAAAAAAAAAGATCAGGGGACCGGTGTTGAGATATGGATAATGGTTCTCGTCCCAACTGCATTACTTCCGATCCAGCTCCCTGCTAATGTACCTGGGAAAGCAGGCTCCTGGCTTCTGGCTTCGGGTTGGTTCAGTTCGGCCACTACGGCCATTTGGGGAGTGAACCAGCAAATGATAGCTCTCTCTACCTCTCTGTTTCTCCTTCTTTCTCTTTTTCTGCTTTTCGAATAAATAATTTTTTTTTCTTAAAAGAAGCTGGATCAGAATTGGAGGTGCTGAGACTTGATCTAGCACTCCGATTATGGATTGTGGTGTGCTAACCAGCAGCGTAACTCATTGTACCACAGCATCCACCCTGGAGCTCTCTTTTTGTCTGCTTGTGTTTCTGCCTCTAAGTAAGAAAAAAGAAAGAACATGAGACACTTTCACAAGGTGGGTGATTTGAGCTGTGGATTTTTTTAAAAGACTTTATTTACTTGAGAGGTACAATTACAGACAGTGAGGAGAGACAGAGAGAGGTCTTCCATCCACTGGTTCACTCCCCAAATGGCCACAATGGCTGGAGCTGAGCCAATCTGAAGCCAGGAGCCAGGACCTTCTTCCAAGTCTCCCTTGCGGGTACAGGGGCCCTAGTTCTTGAGCCATCTTCTACTGCTTTTCTAGGCCATAGCAGAAAGCTGGATTGGAAGAGGAACAGCCGGGACTAGAAGTGGCACCCATATGGGATGCCGGCACTGCAGGTAGAGGATTAACTTGTGCCATAGTGCCAACCCCGAGCTGCTGATATTTAAAAAATTATTATTATTATTATCTTAAGGCATAGAGATAAATAATGAGAGTTCTTCCATCCACGTGTTCACTCCCCAAATGCCTGCAACAGCCTGGATTCGGCCAGGCTGAAGCCAGGAGCCTGAAACTCAGTCCAGGTCTCCATGTGCTTTGGCCATCACCTGCTGCCTCCCAGAGTGTCCATTAGCAGACAGCTGGATCAGAAGCAGGAGAGGGCCAGCGCTGTGGCATAGCGGGTAGAGCCACCACCTGCAGTGCCCGCATCCCATATAGGTTCCGGTTCAAGTCTCGGCTGCTCCACTTCGGATCCAGCTCTCTGCTATTTCCTGGGAGGGCAGTAGAAGATGGCCTAAGTCCTTGGGCCCCTGCACCCACGTGGGAGATCGAGAAGAAACTCCTGGCTCCTGGCTTTGGATTGGTGCAGCTCTAGCCACTGTGGCCTGTGCATTGGGGAATGCATCCGTGGATGGAAGACCTCTCTCTGCCTCTCCTCTCTCTGTGTAACTCTGCCTTTCAAATAAATAAATAAATCTTTAAAACAAAACAAAACAAAAAAAAGTAGTAGAGTCAGGACTCAAACCAGGCATGCCAAATGCCTGCCCCAAGCTGCTAATACTTGAACTGTTTCTTCATGGATGTATATTATTTTATCAAATATTGAGGTTCATTCCAGACAGAGAGTATCATGCACTAAATATGGCAACAGTAAAGAATGTGGCATGCCAAGAAATTCTCTCCATCCAGAAAGTAGGGAGAGTTAGGTATTAGTGGTAGAAGATAAGGCCCAAGAGGTGAATTACAGTTAGATTGTGATGCTTGAAGATTTGACTTTTCCTGTAGGCAATAAAGAAGACATAAATGGGAAGACCTTTCTCTCTGTCTCTCTCTCTCTCTCACTGTCCACTCTGCCTGTCCAAAAAAAAAAAAGACATAAATGTTCTTAAGCAGTATGTGGCAACATCATATTTGTGTTTTATTTTTTTTTAGATTTATTTATTTGAAAGGCATAATTAGAGGGGAAAAGAGAGATCTTCCATCCTCTGGTTTATTCTCCAAATGGTCCGAATGGCTTCCACGGGGCCAGGCTGGTCTCCCATGTGAGTGGCAGGGGCCCAAGCACTTGGGCCATCTTCTGCTGCTTTCTCAGCAGGGAACTAGAACAGAAGTAGATCACCCAGGATTCGAACCAGAGCTCATATGGGATGCCAGTGTTGCAGGCAGTGACTTAACCTGATGTCAGCCCCAATATTTGTATTTTAGAAAGACGATTATTTTACAGGGTAGGGAATAGAGTAGATGAGGAGAAACAGTAAGGGAGACCAATTAGGAGGCTATTACAAAATTCCAGGTGAAAGATGATAGGGTTTGCATGAAAGTAGTGGCAATAAAGATGGGAAATTTAGGAGATAGAATCTAAAAAATTTGGTGACTGATTAGATGAAACCATGTTTGTGTGCCTGGGTAGATGATGATCATCTGATGGGATAGGGAACAAGAAGAACAAAAAACAATGTGATGAGGATGGTAATGAGTTTGGTTTTGAACATGTTGATAGAGATTTATAGGATGTCCAAACAAAAAAATTCAGAGTTGAAGGAAAGGAGAAAAGTTGGGGTTGGCTAGATTACTGCTGGGTAGAGGATATAGGTCATGAGAATAGATGTAGCCATTTAGAAGAGCATGTGTAATGAAAAGCAGGTGAAGACGCCGTGTTTAGATTTTGACAGTGAACTGTACTACTATTGGTTTGATCATAAATAAAATTACCGTCTTAATCATCTGAGGTGAAGATTGTAGGTGAAAGCTGAACTCTTTTTTTTTTTTTTTTTTTTAATTTTTTTTTATTTGACAGGTAGAGTTATAGACAGTGAGAGAGACAGAGAGAAAGGTCTTCCTTCCTTTGGTTCACTCCCCAAATGGCCACTACGGCCAGTGCTGCCCCGATCCGAAGCCAGGAGCCAAGTGTTTCTTCCTGGTCTCCCATGCGGGTGCAGGGGCCTAAGTACTTGGGCCATCCTCCACTGCCCTCCCGGGCCACAGCAGAGAGCTGGACTGGAAGAGGAGCAACTGGGGCTAGAACCCGGCGCCCATATGGGATGCTGGCACCTCAGGTGGAGGATTAACCAAGTGAGCCCCGGCGCCGGCCCCGGCTGAACTCTTAAAACTGCCTGTTCATTTGTGTTAATCACTACTACTTGTAAGGTTAGATTTGAAAGTAGTAGCTAAAAAAGGCAAATCTAGCACAGTTTTAATACAGTTAGGCAGGAGAACTCAGAAATAAATGTGTTGTTCTTTGCACAACAGTAGACTGTTTTTCAGGAAATTCTGTAGCAACCATGTTGTTTGTTTTAGGTTGGTTTTAACAAAAATTATAATGTGAAAAGAGACTTAGAGTGTTTGAAGACCTGTCCTTAAATTAATTTTGTGATTTCAGAATCTCTGAGCTTTTGTTTCTTGTCAGTAAAAACGTAATAATGGTATTGCTTTACTTTCTTCCTGTGATTGCTTGAGGTTCATTTGAGAAGATACAATTAAAATCATATTGTGTTTTAAAAACTTGTAGGATTATCATTGATAAGGTGACAAGTGTGTCTATGCAGATGTTAAAAAGTTTTATTGGCATAGAAATCTACATATTTGAGATTTACTTGGTTGGATTGTTTAACACTTCCCACCGAAACCATAATTTGTTTTCTTGGTCCCTGGTCATAGCCTAGTCTGTAACCCCAAAATTAGTCCAGACTGTATTTTCAATTACTTTTCTGTAATGTGAATTCAAGTTTTAATAGTTTATTTTGTTTCTTTTTTTTTTTTTAATCTAGATTCAGGAGGAATCAGATATGTGGAAAATAAGAGAACTAGAGAAACAGATGGAAGATGCTTACCAGGGGACCAAAAGGAGAATGTTGCCCAGCAGTTCAAGGTGAAGTTGCAGCTCTGAGAACCAAAATAAAGCTCATCTTTTTCAGAATTGTCCACTTTTTAAAAAAAACATTTTGGTATATTAAGGATAGATGAATTCTGTTCTGTGAGTCCTTAAGCCTTCCTGGTTTCATTCATTTAGACCCAAACAAAAAGAGATAATGACTACGATATATATGACTCCAATCATTGTACTTGATCTGCAGTGGAGAATTTAAAAATTCTGACTTGAACAGGTGAAAATGCCCAGAGTTCTGTGTATTCTGATTTTGCCTAACAGCTTATAACTTAAAATTTTGTTAGACTCTTACAGTCACTTAACTGATGAGTCATTCCTTTTTTCTAAGAAATTAGTCTTTCATTCTTTCAGCTTTTTCTTTACTCCATGGACTTACTGCCAGGTTTACAGCCTTTTACATATCCTTAATAATTTTGAATGTGAATGTGAAATATCATGCAGGCTTGGCCATCTCTTACTGTGGAGGTACAGGAATTTTCATGTAATTGGAAATATCTCTTGGCCCTCCTCTGCCTTTAAATGTAGGAAAGTAGATGTATCAAGTAATGAGTATCAAGTAATAATCCTGATTTCTAAAGCCATCCAAGGAAATAATTGGTTAATAGTGAGATATTTAAGGAGCGTATGTTTGTCTGCAGGATGTATAGATTTAATATATCATTGGCTGTGTGAATGGCTTCAGACCCGTATTTAGGGTATACATAAACAAAGCAGTCTCAACATAAATACCTTTCAAGTATTTTTTCTTTCTTTCATTTCATCTACTTGAAAGGCAAAGCAACTGCAAGGCAAGGGGGGATGGCGGGTAGGAGAGAGAGAGAATCTTCCATTTGCTCATTTACCTCTTTAATGCCCTCAACAGCCAGGTCTGGGCTGGGCTGAAGCCAGGAGCCTGGAACTCCATCCAGGTCTCCCATGTGGGTGGCAGGGGCTCAAGCACTTGAGCCACCATCTGCTGCTTTCCAGGTTGCATTAATACAGGAAGCTGGATTGGAAGTAGAGTAGCATGACTTGAACTGCCACTCCAGTAATGGAATGCAGGCATTCCAAGCAGCACCTTAATCCACTGTGCCACAATGCCCACCCTATTTTTCTTTTTGAAGGTGGTCCTTTGAGAATTTAGAAGTACTACAGATGATTTATTTTGTATTGGTTATTTAAGTGACATTTTCAGAAACAAAATGATTGCTTTTTTGTTTTTTTAAAGATTTATTTGTTTGAAAGGCAGAGTGAAAGGAGAAAAAGAGATCTTCGATCTGCCAGTTCACTCCCTGTATGGCCACAATAACCTGGCCCAAGCCAAAGCCAGGAGCCAGGAACTCCATCTGGGTCTCCCATGTGGATATCAGGGACCCAAGTACTTGGGCCATCTTCCACTGTTTCCCAGGTATATTAGCAGGGAGCTGGATTGGAAATGGTGCAGCCGAGACTTGAACCAGCACTCACACGGGATGCTGGTGTTGCAGGCGGCAGCTTAATCCACTGTGCCACAATACTGGCTCAGTGACTGCTCTTCTAGAGTAGACTCTTATTAATGTCTTTCATGGTGAATACATAATTTTAGTAATTGTTTCTTTATTTGACAAATAAAAAGTAAATAAATCTTTAAAACATAAGACAGTCTCTTTAGGGGCAGGGATTTTGAGCATCTCATTAGCTATTACATTTGTATTAGAACAGTGCCCAGAATATAGGAGGCCTTTAAACATTTTGGTAACTGATTAACTGACTTACTGTCAGGTTAGTAGACTGGTAAGGCCTTGTTCCCATTTCAGTGACCTCGCTACTGTTAGTTGCTGGTTTGTTGGAAAGGGAGGTGTATTTCAGAATCTCTAGGGTAGTTTGCGGTGTTCCCAGTGGTGACTGTGCTGTTTCCCTCCTTGTATTCTCTTCCAGTTGAGAACCAGTGAGTGAGTCACAGTATGACATAATCCAGAACTGATTTCATCTGTACCCTACATTAGGATGAGTAGTAGCGGTCCGATTTTTTTCCATTGGACTTTACAAATGTATAGACAGGAAGAAATAATGTCTGTTACAAGTTGTTGGTTTGTTTTTTTTTAATAGTAAGTATCAGGTTATTTTGTTCTCACCTCAGCTTGTTCTTTGAATTTTTTTTAATATTTATTTATATAAATAAATGGAAGATGGAAGACCTCTTTCTTTCTCTCTCTCCCTGTGTAACTCTTGACTTTCAAATAAATGAATAAATCTTAAAAAAAAAAAAAAAAGAGTTACACAGAGAGAGCAGGAGAGGCAGAGAGAAAGAGAGAGGTCTTCCATCCGCTGGTTCACTCCCCAATTAGCCACAACAGTTGGAGCTGTGCCAATCTGAAGCCAGGTGCCAAGAGTTTCTTCCGGTCTCCCATGTGGGTGCAGAGGCCCAAGCACTTGGGCCATCTTCTACTGCTTTCCCAGGCCATCATAGAGAGCTAGATCGGAAGTGGAACAGCTGGGATTTGAACTAGCACCCATAAGGGATGCCGGCACTGTTAAGGGTTTTGTGTATGCCACAGCACCGGCCCCTGTTCTATGGGTTTTGTGTATGATGTTCTTTAAAGTTCCCTCACAAATTGCTTTCAAATCTAAATCTAAATCTAAACATTCTGCTTTCTCTTATAGCCGGATGCGTAGTGATGGCTTTGATGAAGAAAGTCAAAGAGATTATTGGAAGCCAAAGAATGAAATTTCTGGGACACTGGAAGATGATTTTCTTAAGGCTAAATCCTGGAACAAGAAGTTATATGATTATGAAGCTAACATGCCAGACAGGTTTGTAACTAAATTCCTGTGACCACGAATGATATTTGCCTTGAAAACGTGTACTTGTCAAAAATTAAATTGTCGGGCCCGGTGCTGTTGTGCAGCGGGTTTACGCCCTGGCCTAAAGTGCTGGCATCTCATATGGGCATTGGTTCTAGTCCCAGCTGCTCCTCTTCCCATCTCTGCTATGGCCTGGGAAAGCAGTAGAAAATGGCCCAAGTCCCCGGGCCCCTGCATTCACGTGGGAGACCCAGAGGAAGCTCCTGGCTCCTGGCTTCGGATCGGCGCAGCTCCTGCCGTTGCAGCCATCTGGGGAGTGAACCATCAGATGGAAGACCTCTCTCCCTCTGTCTCTACTTCTCTCTGTAGTTCTGTCTTTCAAATAAATAAAAATAAATCTTAAAAAAAAATAACCACCCTAACAAAAACTTAGACACAAGTGTTCAGAGCAGGATTATTCATAATGGCCAAAAAGTGGAAACACACATGTCTGATGAATAAACAAAATGTAGAATATCTATTTAATGGATTATTTGGTGGTAAAAGGAATGAATTATTGATGGACATGCTGCAATATGGGTGAACCTTGAAAAGATGCTAAGTATAAGAAGCCAGACTTAAAGACCACGTACTATATGATTGTATTTATGTGATATGTTCAGAATAAGCAAATCCACACAGAAAGTAGATTAATGGTTGTCATGGGCGAGAGGCATTATACCTTTTTTTTTTTTTTTTTTTAAGATTTATTCATTTGAAAATCAGAGTTACACAGAGAGAAGAGAGGCAGAGAGAGAGAGAGAGTGAGAAAGAGAGAGAGAGAGAGAGAGAGGTATCTTCCATCTGATGGTTCACTCCCCACAATGGCCAGAGCTGCGCCAATCTGAAGCTAGGAGCCAGGAGCCTTCTCCAGGTCTCCTAAGCGGGTGCAGGGGCCCAAGGACTTGGGCCATCATCCACTGCCTTCCCAGGCCATAGCAGAGAGCTGGACTGGAAGTGGAACAGCCGGGTCTTGAACCGGCACCCATATGGGGTGCTGGTGCCTCATGCCAGGGTGTTAACCCTCTGCGCCACTGTGCTGGCCCCGAGGCATTACACTTTAAGAGTGAATTTTAACATTATATTATGAAGTATTTTTGGAAGAGTGCTCACAACTTAAGAGTAAAATCTTAAAAAGAGTTCTTTATTGTTTCTTAAGGAAGAGAATGGAAGTTCTCTTATCAATGGACAGAGGAATTCTGTTTTTTTTTTGTTGTTGTTGTTTTTTTAAGATTTATTTATTTATTTGAAAGTCAGAGTTACACAGAGAGAGGAGAGGCAGAGAGTGTGAGAGAGAGGTCTTCCATCCGCTGGTTCACTCCCCAACTGGCCGCAATGGCCAGAGCTGCGCTAATCCAAAGCCAGGAGCTTCTTCCGGGTCTCCCATGTAGGTGCAGGGGCCCAAGGACTTGGGCCATCTTGTACTGCTTCTCCAGGCCATATCATAGAGCCGGATGGGAAGTGGAGCAGCCGGGACTTGAACTGGCGCCCATATGGGATGCCGGCACTTCAGGCCAGGGTGTTAATTTGCTGCGCCACAGCGCTGGGCCCCAGAGGAATTCTTTGAATGATAGCATCATACAGTTGTGGGGAGCAACCCGGACTAGACTAAGTTACTGGAATTAAGACTTATTCTATGCATCTGCTCTCCCACAATATGGCGCTGAGAAGGGAGAAGCAGCTTCTACACAGCTGCCTCCAGTTCAGCCAATAAACTGTAGGACCTGCTCCTGATTGGAAGAGAGCAGCGTACTTGGCGTGTGGGTAGCAGAATTGGGATTGGTGGAAGAGGACTATAAAGGAGGAGAGAGACAACATGCACGAGGAACATCTAAGGGGAACATCTATCTGAAGGAACACCTGTGCAGCCCCCGAGAGAGCCGGCCGGCGGTGTGCCGCTCCCCTGCGGAAGTGGGGAAAGTGGCCAGGGGGAACCGCCCTTCCACGGAGGTGGAAGGGACGGCAGCCAACCCGGGAAGAACCAGCAGCAAACCCGGGGAGGGCCGAGCAGACGAAAGAACAGCGCAGAGTCCTGTGTCGTTCCTCCATGAAGACGGGGAGCGACAACAGTAAAGAAAATGAAGCTGTGTTTGAACTAGGTTGGTTTAGTTCCACTGTTATCTATTTTCTTTGCTCTGTAGGTATGTGTGTATGCATACAGGCACTCCAAAATCTAATTTTAATTTGCAGAAATATATGTTGTTTAACAATACATGTAATGTGTCATCTTACAGATGGGGTCACAGTGGTTATAAAGAGTTATACCCTGAAGAATTTGAAACAGACAGGTAAGGCAAATAGGCTTACTGAGAAAAACTGATTAGTACAGTCTGTATTGTAAACTGACCTAAGTTTTAGAAAGGATATAATATTTGCCATTGAACATGGAGCTATAGAAACAACAGGTGATTTAGTTGGGAGATGATTCTTATTGTTCTTTTCCCTAATTGATGTTTGGCATGTCTATAAATTTTTTTAAAAAATTTCTTTATTTGAGAGACAAAGATTAGACAGATGGAGAACATCCATCTGCTGGTTCACTCTGTAAATAACTACATGGCCCTGGCTGGGACATGCTGAAGCCACGATCTGGGATCATGTCTGGGTGTCTTGTGTGCGTGGCAGGGATCCAACTACTTTAGCAATTACTTCCTAACTCACAGGGTGTGCATTAGCAGGAAGCCTGAACTGGGAGTGGAGCCAGGACTTAGAGCTAGTGATGCAGGCATCCCAACCCAGCTTCCTAGTCACCAGGCAAACACTTGCCCCCCATTTTGGTTTTTATCTCCTTCTCTGTGGGTGCTACTTTCCAAAACTACCAGTGGATACCTGAAACTGGATAGTACTGAACTTTATAGGCTGCTTTTTCCTACACATACAGACCTATGATTAATTTTTTAAAAAGATTTATTTATTTGAAAGTCAGAGTTACACAGAGAGGAGAGGCAGAGAGAGAGGTCTTCCATCTGCTGGTTCACTCTCCAGTTGGCTGCAATGGCCGGAGCTGTGCCGATCTGCAACCGGGAGCCAGGCGCTTCCTCTGGGTCTCCACGTGAGTGCAGGGGCCCAAGGACTTAGGCCATCTTCTGCTTTCCCAGGCCACAGCGGAGAGCTGGATCAGAAGTAGAGCAGCCAGGACACGAATCTGCACCCACATGGGATGCCTGCACTGCAGGCAGAGGCTTTACCCGCTGTGCCACAGTGCTGGCCCCCCTATGATTACTTTTTACCTTTCACTTAAAGAAAGCACTTTATGGCCGGCACCGCGGCTCACTAGGCTAATCCTCTGCCTGCGGTGCCGGTACCCCGGGTTCTAGTCCTGGTTGGGGCGCCGGATTCTGTCCCTGTTGCTCCTCTTCCAGTCCAGCTCTCTGCTGTGGCCCGGGAGTGCAGTGGAGGATGGCCCAGGTCCTTGGGCCCTACACCCGCATGGGAGACCAGAAGCACCTGGCTCCTGGCTTTGGATTGGTGCAGTGCACCGGCCGTAGTGGCCATTGGGGTGTGAACCAACAGAAAAAGGAAGACCTTTCTCTGTCTCTCTGTCTAACTCTTACTGTCAAAAAAAAAAAGCACTTTAACTTTTCTTTGGTATATGTGGTCACCAATGTAACTCTTGTTGCACTTTGAGGCCATTTACTGCTTTTACTGCTAATCCTGGACAATCCATCTGTTAACCCAGAAGGCTACAGAACACTTAATGGTTGGGTAGTGTAGTGAAGATATACTGGACAAAGGAATGGTTGGAGTTGTGTGGACTGGATCCAGACAGTGTGGTAGTTCATCTTGCTACTCAGAATGGCATGTAATTGGAAACTTATGCATTGTTAGAATACTTCTGGAACTTCCCACTTAATATTTTTGGACTGCGTTTGACCACAGCTAACTGAAACCACTGAAAGTGAAAACTGTGGATAAGGGGATTATTGTTCATTCCATACAGTAACTTAGTATGGCAGATTAGGATTGTTATCTTCCTTTTGAAGATGAGGAAACACAAGTAAGAGAATAAAAGATAAGTCTCAGAGCAATGCAATGGCACAATTTTGATTAAACCTCAAGTGCTAGCCTAAATTTCCTATCTATAATGCAGAATATTAAAATATACATTTTTATTTTTTTATTAGTAGTGATCACCAAGATATTACCAATGGGAAAAAAGCATCTCCCCAAGTAAAATCATCAACCCACGAATCCCGCAAACACAAGAAGTCAAAGAAATCCCACAAAAAGAAGCAGAAAAAAAAGTCACACAAAAAACAGAAGAAAAGCAAAAAGGAAGCCACAGATGTAACAGCAGATTCATCAAGTGAGTTCTCAGAAGAAGCTGGGGCTTCCAGTACCAAGAAGAGGAAACAGCCACATAAGCGCAAGAAGAAGTCCAGGAAAAAGTCTCTCAAAAAATCTGCTTTATTAGAGGCAGAAAATGACACTTCCCAGTCAGATGACTCAGCATCTAGTAGTTCTGAAGAAAGTGAGGAAAGAGACACTAAGAAAACCAAAAGGAAAAGGGGAGATAAAGTCCACATCCCTGTAGCTAACAATGAAATACAGCAGAGGACAAACAAACGCACAAATTGGAAAGTGGCTACAGATGAGAGATCTGCTGAGAGCTCAGAGGATGACTAAATGGGAAAGAAATACTCTTTTCCCAAGTGAGACTGGATACGTGCAGCTCTTAACATCTTGGGGTTTTGCCAGTGACTCATTCAGTACAGGGGGTCACAGCTGTTTTGTGCCATCTGTATGTGTTCTGACAGCCTCCTCCTTTTTTATTTTAGCCTGTTAAAACTTGATCCCCTTTTCTTGAAAATAGGGACGCTGGTATTGTTAAAAGGTTTCTGGAAGAGATTATTTTTTTGCAATTAATCACATATAGTGTATAGTACATATATCCCAAACTAAAGGGCCCAGAAAGCTGAATCCAATAATGACCTGTATACACCAGTTAGAATGTTGACTTTGGGGATATGAACGGCTGAGAACAAGAGGTGGAATGGAACCAGTGGTGGGTAGTATTTTGCTTTGTTTGTATCGCAGGTTTCACAGCTGACCTGTTTTCACCCCAGGTGCTTTGATCCTTCTATATTTTGACCCCACGAGTATGGATGGTCCAGTTTATTTAATGAGAAAACTGACCTAACAATGTACCTTTTCCCTTCATGGTAACAATCATAGACTGCATTTTCTAGAAGGGACTAAGATTTTTCTGTCAGCTGAACAGGATTCAGGGCAGCAACTGCCACCTAAATGTTGTCTTCCTTGTTCATTTCTAAATTTATTACTGAACTTTAGATTTTCCCTGAAACTAAGTTGAATCATTTCCAAAATGAAACAGGCTTCTCAGGGACACTACCATTTCCTCCCAGTTTGCCTTTAAAGCACCAGAGGCCACATGATTTCCATTTGCTGTACTGTGACCCCTACTACGTTATTCTTTAACCAAACTATCCCTGAAAGAAGGCTGGCAGAACACAAGTGGAATTGTTTCGTTAAAGGAGAAATGATCAAGTGACATACACTGTCATTGGTTTTTTTTTTTTTCTGGTTGTCACTTAATGGGCTAAGTAAAAAGCTTCTACACTCACTCTTGGTCTTGGTTCTGCCACTAACTTGTTCTAAGTTCTAGAGCAGGTAAGTTAACCTACCTGGCCTCACTTTCCCTATGAAATACAGAGTTACTTCATGGTAGCATGACTGTTTAAAGACACCAGCAATAGAATACAACTATGACAGCATTCCATGAGGTGATATTTATAGTCCTCACTACTAAATTTGTTCTCTTTACAAAACAGATATCTAATAAAGTGCTTGGTCTTAAAATACATCTTTGGCCAGATGTGCCCCATCCTTGTATCCCGATTATGAGCTGGTGCTACCTTCTGGTATATTTATTTGAAATATTAATACTTTGGTACTTAATTATCAATGATCCATGGTATGTATTTCTATCTTTGGGATTAATGGAGAAATAATGGGGGAAGAAGAGTCTACTTACTACCTCTTAACCTAAAGCAACCGTTTGTTCTTAGAGCAAATGAAATCTTTTTTGGAAGTTTTTAGCCATGTAATTTTTTTTTAGCATTTTGTATGTGCTTCTAAGAGTATTACTGATTCAAAGCACAGACTCAGGAAAGTGGGCCAGTAGAACAAGGCATCTCCAAGAAGCTAGTTTTATTTGGACCTTGGTCTTCCCTTCCCATACTAGTAGGTTTATCTCCTTTCCCAAGGAACACACATCATGCCTGTTTTTTTGGGGTCATGTTTACCTTTTTGGTCATGTATAAGCAATAAAGCTGTTTTCTGTTCTTCACTGTTCTCAATGCCAAATTCTCTTCTGTGCCTTAGGTGAAGGCTTTGATGGTTCTTCTAACCCCTTAACTATGGCTTTGGGTGGTTTTTCAAAATTTATAATCTCCCATTTGCACTGCTGTCTTGGTACACATTCATTTCTAGTGATTACTGCCGATCAGAGATCTCTATATATTTAATCCTAAGATGACATTAAAAAAAAGTTGGAGAATTCATATTTATTGAATAGTTCATGTGATATAACCTGGAATCTCTGAATTCCAAATAAATAAAATTTCAGTTTTTCAACATTTGATCTTTTACTTTTTAAAAGCACCAACAGACTGATGATGATGACCTGCCAATGGGATGATGACTTTTCCCTCTGGTTCTTCAATCTGCGTAATAACAAGTCTTTTCGCTGCTTCTGTCATTTTCTTGGGGTAGCTTACTGCCCTCCTTTCTGTACAATCTGGGCAAACCGACCAGTGATGGCAAGAGTAGTGTCGATGAAGCGGTCCACGCAGCTAGACAGACAGTTTTCAGTGCGAGAGTCTAGACGATTCCCTGGCTTCTCCACACATTTATCCCAACAAAGCTCCATGAAGTGATGCACCTAAGAAGAAAAAATAATAACCATTGGAATATGCAGGTAGGTCTAACTGTCCAGTTTCCTATTTTTCATTTTCCATCACCTGACAAAACAGTTCTTTGAATCAGCAAACAAGACCGTCCCGTTGGGCTCTCCTCTGTCTTTGCTTTCAAATTTGTCACCAGTATGGTCCAGATCTTCATTTCTATACTGACTGTAAATTCTCATGTAGGACCAGTAACTTTATATTTCCAAAAGCAGCTAGCACCAATGCAAACGCAAGACAGTTCACTGCCTTAAACCACTCAAATCATTCGAACCTATTCCCAGGAGGGTAGTTCTTTAACCTTTCTGGGATCTTGGGATACATTTGAGAATCTGATGAAGGTTTTGGATCCACTCCCCAGAACAACGCACGTAAACCACAAAAGCAAACCACAAAAGCGTATGCAACTACCTGATTGATCATGACCCAAAGACTTAACAACCATTGTTTCTGCTCAATCTCCACGTGTCTCTCCTCCACCCCCCCTCCCCCAAAGGGAGGAGGTTACCATATAGGAGAGATTGTTATTTGGGAGGCTGAGTTGTCAAGTCACTTTCAAGTCCCAAAAGATGGCTATCACTACCTCCATTCAGGAGGCGTAGCTAGGTAACTGCCCTAAGGTCATGCCGCCCGCAAGCACCACGCAGACCCTTGAGGCTGCCTCAAGGGTTCCAAAATCTTTGTTCTCAACCGACAGTCTGTCTACAAGACTACTTCAAAGCCCACCTTTCCCACTAATGTTCTCGTGCTTTATAGTTTTCAAGTACATTATTGATTATGACCCTCAACCCGGCAAAACCCACAGTGGTTGGGTGTGTGGTTTAGCGGCACGAGGCAACGGCGGGACTGAAACCCACATCTTCCCAATTCCCGCTCAGACAGGTCGCCGGCTGGTGATGCTCTCATGCTCTTGCGCCTCCCAAACCTTTCTACTCTACACCTCTTTTCCCCAGGGCTGCACTTGCTTAGCGGGCACCTGAGCACTGCCGTGCGTTGAGCAGGAGGGCCACGATTCGTTTTCTTCGTGAGGGTTACGGAGCGCAGCCGGAATCCAACACCCGGCGGCCTCACTCAGCCGCCAGTGTACAGAGCTCTGCGGGCGTCCGGAGCCTGTGCTTCATCCCCCTCTCTCCACTCTCCAGATCCAGTCCCTGTCCCCGCACCTGTGCAGTGAACTGTGCCTTTTGCTGTTCCGCCGCCACCAAGCGCTGCAGCTCCGCTTCGTCCGCCTCTCCGAGCTCAGCCATCTTCCGTACAAGAATCTGAGCTCTCCGACAAGCGCAAACACGCATGCGCGGCCGCACGCTCCGCCCCTCACTTCCGGTTCACGCAGCATTTTCCTGCGTCGTCTTCGCGGGGTGGGCGGTGTCGCATAACTGCTTCCGGGTTGGTGTATGACCTTGAGCCCTCCGGAGCGAGATGGCGACTCTCGGGAGGTTGAGTGTCCTTTGCGGTGCCCAAGGAAGTCGAGGTGAGGGGCTCTGGCAGCCGGAGGTGCCCCACGCAGCCTCCAGCCGGGTGGAGGGTGGAGTTGAGGACTCGTCTGCTAGTGGTGAGGTATCTAGAGGAGAAAACAATCTCTTCCCAAATGTGCGCCCGAACGCGTATCTTCCCCGCTGTGGGTCGACGTAGGGAAGGGGTAAAGTGAGAGAGCTCTTCCTGGGAGCTACATTTTTACGGGAAAACTATTTTGTCTACTGGTGACGCTCCCCGTTCGCAGTCCCTAGAATGCTCCCATCCTTCATCGGGAAAGACCGTTAGTATCTCAGGGGTGATGCTCTGTCTTGCCTATTTCCCCTAGAGTTGGGTTTGACAGTGAACCTTGGGGGGAGCAGTTCGATAGCCATGTTAAATGGGCATTTGTGTTGTAGCAGGCACTGTAGTAAGGCTGGGGCTGGGCTACAAGTGTGAACACAGCATGGTTTCTTCCCTCAAACGGCTATGATTCTAATAGGGAAAGTACTTGTAAGCATTACTTAACACAAAGGAGCACCTGTTTTGCTCTCATACATTGTAATGAGAGTCAAGAGAAAGACTATCTGTAGCTCTGTGTTTTGCAAGGATTTCCCTGTCGTGGTTTGTAAGGAGGTGTGCCTGATTTGAATCTTGAGTATAAAGACAGCCAAGAAGAGCTTTACAGTTAGAGCTACTGGAATGAGCAACAGCAATAGGCAAAGAAACTGCATAGTATAAAGAAAAACAAAATAAACTGGATCCTGTAAGACATGAAGATGAGATGAATCTGGAAGGGAGAAGGAGGTGGAACCAAATCATAGAAGAACACATCTTGAGAGTGTGCACTTTACCTGGTGTGTGAAGGGCAGCCATGGAAGGGTTGGACATAGGTTTGCAGTTTCGACTGATTACTTCAGTAAGGATTTGGTGGATGGCTGTGGTGGGAGATGGAGCAGCCCAAGAGGCAAGTAAGGGAGATGAGATAGGACACTGTTATCGTCTAGGAAAGGTAAAGCCCTGAACTTGGGAAGTAGTACTAAAAAAAAAAAAAAAAGGAAATGTTAAGAAGATATGTCAGTAATCTTAATAACTGAATTTAGGGGAAAAGTCCTGCATGATTTCCAGACCTGTGGGTTAGGCTAGAGTGTCTGAGCTGTCATTAAATAGAGTACAGAGCATACAAATGGAATACAAGTTTGGATGAGAAAGTGAATTGAAGGATGATTCCATTTTGTGACCAGTTGAGTTGGAGGACATGTACACATCTCAGTGGAAAGACCAAGCAGCTAGCTAAATATCTGAAACGCTGGAGAAATAGCAGAATTGGAGATAGAGATTTGGATGTTATCAGCTTTAGCAGTAGACGAAACTGTGGCTGGAAGAAATGTTCTGGAGTAGACATAGGGAGTGAGGAATGCAATAAGCAGATGATAGAATCCTGAGGAAACCTTGAGACGATGCAGGAGGAGACTGATACGGGATGGTTAGAGAAACAGGAGGACTAGAAGAATTCTGTCAGAGAAAAGAATAAAGGCGAGGCCACCAGTGCCAGGTGTTGGAGGAAGGGCCTAATAAGATTAAGATTGAACACAGTCTGTTGGATATGCCCTCATGAAGATTATTGGTGACAGACCAAAGCAGCTCTGGTGAGGGTAACAATAAGTTTCAGAGTTGAAGAATTACTGGTAAGTGAGAAAGTAGAGGTGATTTAGACCACACTTCAAAGAAGCAAGGTTGGAAAGAGAAGAAAGGGCGTGGGCATTAGTTAGAGGACATGAGGTCAAAGGAATGGTTAGGCTTATTATATCAGTTGAGGCAAAATGGCCAAAAAGAGATTGAAGGCACAGGAGAAGAGTGGTAAGTAGTTACCCTTTTTGTAGTACTTGTAATATCTGGCAACTATGCTAAGTCCCTTACCTGTATTCTTAAAATTTTAATTAGAGTAAGCACTATTTCCATTTTACAAATGACAAAATTGGAACTTGGAGAGCTTGTTTAACTTAACTCTTCTCACACTTGGAAGTGGTTCAACTGGGTGCATTTCTATCTGTCTATATTTTAGCAGAGTCTGGGCCTAAAAGGGGACAGAGGAAGTGAGTTCAGGTGTACAAATGGAGAAATTGGTCTTAGAAGGTTGTAGATGAAGTTCCTAAGGGAGCTTGAATTTCTTGGGGGCAAAAACCTTGTCATTTATCTCTCTGGCTCTGGAGCAGAGCTTAGTCTTACACATAGTAAATGTTTGTTGACTGAATAGATGAATAAATTGAAAGTGAAACAAGCTAACATTTATTTTAAAGATGATTTATTTGAAAGGCAGAGTTACAAAGAGAGAAGGAGAAACAGCATGAGAGCTCTTTTCATCTGTTGGTTCACTCCCCAAATGACCACAAGCTGAAGGCCAAAGCTAGGAGCCACGGGCTTCTTCGGGTGTCTCGTGTGGGTACAGGGGCCCACACACTTGTGCCATCCTCCACTGCTTTCCCAGCTGCATCAGCAGGGACCTGGGTGGGAAGTGGAGCAGCTGGGATACGAACCAGTGCCCACATGGGATGCCAGCATTGCAGGCATTGGGTTAACCGACTGTGCCACAATGTGAACCCCTATTGTTTACTTTTAAGAAGTTAGTAAAAATGAGGCTCTTTTCATAAGTGATTCATTGACTGCTCAGTCTTCACAGTATCCTAGTGCAATAGGTACTACCTTCATTTTACAGTTTAGATGTCATTCCCTACATAGGGTTGATTAGCTTGCTTGGGATTGTTTAGAAAGTCTTTCAGTTCTGTGAAAGGAGAGGTGCTTATGTGGTGCTCCTGTTTCCTCAGCTGTGTTCCTCCGAAGCCTGGTGGTGAGACCCACTCACGTCGCAGCATTTCTCCAGGACCGGCCTTCCCCAGGATGGTGTGGAGTGCAGCATATTCACCTGTCACCAAGTCGCCACTGTATGTTCTCTGGGCTACAGCTATCTTCACTTTGGCTGATTGTTACGCCTGCAACAGGCCTTGATTCCTGTTGGTGGGACTCTTGTGTCTAGTTCTGTTAAATGAAAACCTAGTTTATAATGCCACTGTGGGTGGATGGTGCCATTTACTTTCATAAAGACTTTCTGGCCTAAGTCAAGTAACTCTAGGAAGACTGCTTGATATAGTTGAGTCATTCTTATTTGTTTCATTAATGTAGAAAAGCCAGGTATGGGGAACGGAGAATACTAGGTAATGTAGAGACTGCATCATGTGTACTTATTGTCATTGACTTACTCAGTTTTTTGGCTTGACTTTAAAACTGGGTCATTTCCTAAATGAGTTTTGTATGGATTTTAGTCTTAGAAATGGGTAGGATATTTCCCCTCCCTCCTCCTTCCCTCTCTCTGGCTGTCACATTTAAGAAAAGAGAGAGAGAAAATCTGTAGGTGAATAATGAGCTAACTGTGCTTCAGTTTTTTTTTTTTTTTTTTAAATTTTTATTTTTTTTGACAGGCAGAGTGGACAGTGAGAGAGAGAGACAGAGAGAAAGGTCTTCCTTTGCCGTTGGTTCACCCTCCAGTGGCCGCCGCGGCCAGTGCGCTGCGGCCGGCACACCGCGCTGATGGGATGGCAGGAGCCAGGTACTTATCCTGGTCTCCCATGGGGTGCAGAGCCCAAGCACTTGGGCCATCCTCCACTGCCTTCCCTGGCCACAGCAGAGAGCTGGCCTGGAAGAGGGGCAACCGGGACAGAATCGGGTGCCCCGACCGGGACTAGAACCCGGTGTGCCGGCACCGCAAGGCAGAGGATTAGCCTAGTGAGCCGCGGCGCTGGCCTGTGCTTCAGTTTTTAAAGTCTGGAGAGATCAGACTTCTTGATACTTCAGTTGGTCACTTAAGAGTTGCATCAGTTCCAAGGGGTTAGCCAAGTATACTTTTTCTACTCTTTAGGACTTTTTATTTATGAAAAATTTCTGTTCTGGATTTGTTTGCCTCTTTCAGTTAAATTTAGCAGACACTTTAACTTGGGAGTGTGTGGAGCTGAAGAAGAGCCCCTGCAGTTACGTATGTTTTTATGAGTGCCTGTGTGCATTGTCCAGGAAAGAAGCTCGTTCTTGTACGACATTGGCAGAGGAATCTGCAACCAAAAGAGGCACTCAGATGCTTAAAGCTCATATGGTTTTTCACATGTTTAAAAAAAGTTTCCATGTTCTGTCTGTTTTGGACTTATTTGTGAGTAATGGGACATGGAAGAGCCATGATCATTTTTTTTTTTAATTTGACAGGTAGAGTTATAGACAGAGAGAGAGAAAGGTCTTCCTTCCATTGGTTCACCCCTCAAATGGCTACTACGGCCAGTGCACTGAGCCGATCTGAAGCCAGGAGCCAGGTGCTTCCTCCTGGTCTCCCATGCGGGTGCAGGAGCCCAAACACTTGGGCCATCCTCCACTGCCTTCCCGGGCCACAGCAGAGAGCTGGACTGGAAGAGGAGCAACTGGGACTAGAACCTGGCGCCCATATGGGATGCCAGTGCCACAGGTGGAGGATTAACCAAGTGAGCCACAGCGCCGGCCCCAGGGCCATGATCTTAAAACCTGCCCTGACATTTGCTTCCTTGAGTTGAGTGGATTAACCTTCTTTGGGGGAGGCTGTTATATTTCTTTCAAAGATTAAAAGGTGTGAATTTTAATTTTTTTAAAGACATTGTGCTTATCTGTGAAAATGACGCTATTCTTTTTTTTTTTTTCCCCAAGAGATAAAGAGAGGGCATGCTCCTAGGATCTGCTGGTTCTCTCCTTTAGATGCCTGCAAAGGCCCTAGGCCAGGGATCAAACCAAGAGCCAGGAACTCAATCTCAGTCTCACATGTGGGAGACAGGAACCCAACTACTTGAGCCATCAATGCTGCCTCCCAGTGTCTGCATTCTTAGAGAACTAAAGTCAGGAGCAACCAGGCCTGGGAATAGAACCCAGGTACTCAAACGTGAGATGTCGGTTTCTTGGGGTCAGCACTTTGGTACAGCAGATTAAGCCTCAGCCTGCAGCATCGGCATCCCATATGGGCACTGGTTCGAGTCCCTGATGCTCACTTCCAATTCAGCTCCCTGCTAATGCACCTGGGAAAGCAGTAGAAGATGACCCAAGTCCCTGGGCCCCTGCACCCATGTAGGAGATCTGGATAACGCTACTGGCTGAAGCTCCTGGCTTCGGCCTGGCCCAGTCCCAGTCATTGTGGTCATTTAGGGAGTAGACCAGCAGATCTACCTCTCTGTCTCTCCTCTCTCTCTCACTCTACCTTTAAAAATAAATGAATTAATTTAAAAAAAGAGAGCGATATGGGTTTCTTAACCAGCAGCTTTACTACACCAAATGTGCATGGTTTAGGAATAAATAAATAATGTTTAGGAATTCATCAGGCATTAGTAATTTATAAGGTAGATGTCCATTTTACTGAAGTCTAGGCATGACTTAATTCTGCAAAGGCATTTCATTACTTGCTGGCCTTTAAGCAAAGTGGATTTGTCTTCTAATCAATACAAGCAGGCTCCAAGATACTCTTGTGCTAAAAGACTTTAAAGAGGGATAACATCTCTGTCACTTACTTTTTTTTTTTTGGACAGGCAGAGTGGACAGTGAGAGAGACAGAGAGAAAGGTCTTCCTTTTGACATTGGTTCACCCCTCAATGGCCGCCGCAGCCAGCGAGCTGCGGCTGGCACACCGCGCTGATCCGAAGCCAGGAGCGAGATGCTTCTCCTGGTCTCCCATGCAGGTGCAGGGCCCAAGCACTTGGGCCATCCTCCATAGCAGAGAGCTGGACAGGAAGAGGAGTGACCGGGACAGAATCCAACGCCCTGACTAGGACTAGAATCTGGTGTGCCAGCACCGCAGGCGGAGGATTAGCCTATTGAACCGCAGTGCCGGCCTGTCAGTTACTTTTTAAAATATGAATGTCTTTATGCTCAGGATTAAATCTTACAGTATATTGTTGGCCTTTTTTTTTTATAAGATTTATTTATTTATTTGAAAAAGAGAGAGGGAAACACATAGAGAAAATTTTCTTTCTTTTTTTTTTTTTAAAAGATTTATTTATTTATTTATTTGAGAGGTAGAGTTACAGACGGTGAGAGGGAGAGACAGAGAGAGAGAGGTCTTCCATCTTCTGGTTCATTCCCCAAATGGCCACAATGGCCGGAGCTGTGCCAGTCCAAAGCCAGGAGCCAGGAGCTTCTTCCAGATCTCCCACACGGGTGCAGGGGCCCAAGGACTTGGGCCATCTTCTACTGCTTTCCCAGGCCTCAGCAGGGAGCTGGATGGGAAGAGGAACAGCTAGGACTAGAATCGGTGCCCATATGGGATGCCAGCTCCGCAGGCGGAGGATTAACCTACTGTGCCACAGTGCTGCCGCCCCCCCCCCTTTTTTTTTTAAAGGAGAGAAAAATTTTCCATCCACTCGTTCACTTCCAAAATGGCTACAACGGCTGGGACAAGGCCAGACCAAAGCCAGGAGCCAGGAGCTTCTTCCAGGTCTATCACACAGGTGCAGGGGCCCAGGGACTTAGGCCATCCTTTGCTTGCCCAGGTGCATTAGCAGGGAGCTGGATTGGAAGTGGAGCAGCTGGGACATGAACTGGCACCCATATGGGATGCTGGTACTACAGGCAACAGCTTAACATGTAGTGCCACAGTGCCCACCCTATATTACTTGCCACTCTGTCAGTTTGGGCAGTTTTGTGGAAGATGCTGAAAGTGAGAGATGTGTGTTTCTCCCCTCAACTCTCATGAATCTGGTTCTTTTTGTAGCTGGTTCCAAGGCTGCATCCCTCCACTGGACTGGCGAGAGAGTTGTCAGTGTTTTGCTCCTGGGCTTGCTTCCAGCTGCTTATTTGAATCCATGCTCTGCAATGGACTACTCCTTGGCTGCAGTTCTGTCTCTGCATAGTCACTGGCAAGTACACTTTGTCTGCCTAGTTCATTTACTGTGAATTTGGCTCATATATTGCAAATGAAGGAGGAGTTTATTGAAATATTCAATATCCAGAGAAAACTTATAAATGTGTATGAAACACCCACGTGTTCAGATTTATATATCCACTTGCCTATTTGATGTCTTTATTTGCATATCTAGTAGGCATTTCGAATGTTACATTGATAAAACGAAGTTGATGATTGCTTCCAAATCTGATCTCCTGCATTCTTGCCCAGCTAAGTTAATGGCATTTGCATTCTTCTGTTTGTTCAAGGCCCAAACCTAGTCATCATCCTTGACTCTGAGAGTATCTCCTTAATGGCCGGCTTTGTGTCTATTTCCAACACAGCAGCCCTCATAATCCTATGTACATAAGACATCTCAACACCCATCTTTGTTTTTTCAATTTACTCTAAAACTAGAATTGCAGTGGCTTACACACTCTGTGAGTTCCCTGGCCCTGCCCATTTCTTCCCTCATCTCTAGCTACGTGTCTCTCATTGATCCCTCATTCATGCTGGCTTCCTCAACATCCCTCAGAAATGCCAGGGACATTTTAGGCCTGGGGCTTTACTCTTCCTTTTGCCTGAAACTCTCTTTAGTTACATTCTTGGCTTCTTCCCTCATCTCCTTCAGATCTTAATTGTTGCCCTCTCAACAAAGCCTTCCCTAACCAATTAAAATTGCAGTATCCTTTTTGACATTCTCTCTCTCTCTTTCTCAGAAGTACTTACTGCCTTCTAATATGATTACTACATGATCTGTTTATTATTTGATGTACTATTTGGCATTCCCTGACTCCTCTCACCTCCAGAATAAAAGTACCGATAGAGAAAATCACAAAATCGAATGTAGGGCTAATGAATAAGGGTCTATTAGTCCGTTTAGTGTTGTTATAACAAAAAACCCAAGCTAGATAATTTTTCAGGAAACGGAGTTTATTGAACTCACAGTACGGGTGGTCCAAGACCGTGATGCCAGCTTCTGCTCAGCCCTGGTGAGGGCTTTCTGGCTTTATCCTAACGCGGTAAGCAGCAGCACGGTGAGAGTGCATGCGACAGAGAAGTCACATGGCGAGTCGGAAGGCAGGAAGGATTCTTATAACAATTACTCATGGAACTGAGTGGGAGGAGGGGGTCCTGAGAGATCTACATTAATATTTTCCAAGGGTAGTGCCCCCGCTGATCTCGCCACCTTCCACTAAGTCCTTCCACTTAAAGGTGCCCCATCATTCAGCGTCACACTCTGAGGACTAAGCTTCCTGCACACAGACCTTTGATGGACACATTCAAACCATAACCAAACTAGAGCATCGGGGAATATCAGCCAACTCAAAAAATCAAACTTCACCACCCTATTCCGGAAGCCTCCTTCTTGTGCTTCATTTCAGTCACAGTTGCCCACCCCACTTCCTGCCAGGAACTGTGAACTGTGACCCTGATTTTTTAAAAAATATTTATTTATTTGAAAGAATGAGAGGGAGAGAAAGACAGAGGGAGAGAGATCTTCCATCCACTAGTTCACTCTCCACTTGACTGCAATAGCTAGGCTGGATGACATCGAAGCCAGGAACTTCATCCATGTCTCCCATGTAGAAACAGAATCCCAAGCACTTGGGCCATCCTCCACTGCTTTTCCCAAGCCATTAAAAGGGAGCGGGATCAGAAGTGGAGCAGCCAGGAGTGAACCGGCACTCATATGGGATGCCAGCGTCACAGGTGGCATTGGCCCCACAGTTGGCTTCTTGATTCCTTTTCTTACTTACCTTGCTTATTTTCTGTTTTCTTTTACAGAAAAAAACTTGCTTGAAAGAGCTGTCTATAATTGTACTTCAGTGTCTTAGCATACAATCATACAATTTTTTTTAAAGATTTTATTTATTTATTCGAAAGGTAGAGTTAAAAAGAGAAGGAGAGACACAAAAGCCTTCCGTCCACCGGTTCACTCCCCAAATGCCAAAATGGCTGGAGCTGGTCTGATCTGAAGCCAGGAACCAGGTGATTTTTTTTCAGGTCTCCCACGTAGGTGCAGGGACCCAAGCACTTGGGTCATCTTCTACTGTGTTCGCAGGTGCATTAGTAGGGAACTGGATTGGAAGAAGAGCAGCCAGGACTTGAATTGGTGTCCATATGGGATGCCTGTGCCACAGGCAGAAGTTTAGCCACAGCACCGGCCCCCATCTCTTAATTCATATTAACTAAAGCTTAATTTAGCATGTCATTCTTACTAACATCAGCAGAGATCCTTATCTTTCCAAACCCAGTTGTCTCTCCTCTGTGTTCCACTTATTTGACCTCTTAGCAGCATTCAACTCAGTTGATCATTCTGTCCTTAAATCACCTTTCTTTGGCTTCCTGGATACTACAGAGGTCACTTCTGCCAGCTTCTCTCCTCTTGTCTGAGACCACTCACTGATTATGTCCCCAGGGCTCAGTCTTGGCCTCCTTAATGTATCTATTCACTTTCCTGAGGTGAGCTCAGATCAGACCTCTTTTCCTGAGCTGCAGACTTCTATGCCCAGTTGTCTAAATGACATACCCACTTGGTTCTCTGGTAGTCATTCCAAATTTAGCGTTGCCCAAATCATTCTCTCTACCTATTCTCCCCAAATTATTTTATTTCCCCTCAAAATGTCTTCTTAGTTAAATCTAGTTACTCAAGCTAAAAATTCTAGGAGTCATTCTAGATATTTCTGTCTCTCTGTCTCTCTGCCTGTCAAGCAAATAAATAAATGAGAATTGAAAGTAAAAAGCCTGAATTGTTACTTCATACCATCTTCCCTGTCAGTAGCTTGGGTTAAGCCAGTAGTCTTGTTTAGACCACCTCAATAGCCTTCTAACTAGCCTCTGTTCTCTTTCTTTCTTTCTTTCTTTCTTTCTTTCTTTCTTTCTTTCTTTCTTTCTTTCTTTCTTTCTTTCTTTCTTTCTTTCTTTCTTTCTCTTTCTTTCTTTCTTTCTTTCTCTTTCTTCCTTTCTTTCTTTCTCTTTCTTTCTTTCTTTCTATTTCCTTCCTTTCTTTCTTTCTTCCTTTCTTTCTTTCTTCCTTTCTTTCTTTCTTCCTTTCTTTCTTTCTTTCTTCCTTCCTTCCTTCCTCCTTCTCCTCCTCCTCCTTCTTCTTCTTCTTCTTCTCTT